CATCTGGTCGGATGAGTTTCTAAGTATGCTTTAATTTAGAGCTAGTTAGCTATGTGTCTTTATGGACGTGCCATTGTGCAGACGTGCGTTTGTGTTGCTCTGTGAATGTATGTACTTGTTGAATAATGAAACATTTCAATAAACGCCAATGGACGTCCCGGTTGTGTTTTGAATTTGCGACGTGCTCAATGCGATGCTGCCATTCGTGTGCGACATGCGGTCGCTGTTCACAATCGCTAGCCAATGATATTACGTTTTGGCACACCCCTAACTGACATTTGATTGGTCCATTTCGGCCAATCACCAACATGGACACCTGGAGAACTGTCTGGAAAGATGTAACGCCACTTGGCCACGTGGCAAGGGAAACAAAAACGTTACGAGAACATCACTTTGCCAGTCACATTTCTGTGACTTTCTGTACGAAATTGATGTGGGATTGAGGTGGGGATGGCAGGCCCAGCTGCAACCTGTAGTGAGTTCAACATGATGTTGCAAGCTGCAAACACAGATTACTCTCAGCGTGCAGTGCAGCACGGCTTACTCTCGGCGTCCACCACGGGAGCAGCGCGTGTGAGGGGCATGCAGCAGCGCGCCACCACCAGCGCCACCACCGCCGCTCTCGCCGCCATCGTGACGTCGCCGCGCCTCCTCGGGAGGCACATCGCGGTGCCCCAACCGTTGGGCCCCATCGATGGTCACCGCGCGCGCGCGCGCTGTTCGTCTCGTTCTTTGCCGTCGCCGACGCCAACTGGGCATGAGCCCGCCGACGAATGTCAAGTGACGGCCCTGCCCGAACGCGGCATGCGTTACCCGAAACGCAACGGTGGACAGCGTCATTGTTGGTTCGTGAACCATGGCGTGTGCGCATTGCAGGGCGAGGCGGGGGATCAAGCTTGAGCAAAACAAGTTTACTTCGCTACTAACAATCTGTTACTGCTGCTACTAGGGTGAGTGTTAATATATATATATACACATATATATCACAACTAACATAATAATACGGCATGTAATACAAGGCTCAGGGAGAGGCATCAAGAGGAAAAAAGGGGGGAAGAGAAAGAGATGAATAGAACGGGTAGGGAGAAGGAAAGTGAAAAAGGGAAAAAGGGAAAAAGAGGCAGAGGAAGTTGAAGGAAAGGGACAAGGAAAGGGAAAGGGAAAGTGCACCCCCAAAAGACTAAAAAAACATCACACAAGGAACCCCATCAAGACAACTCTAAAGACACCCCAACAAAACACCCTATCTAAAAATTTCCCACCCCCCAACCCCTCCTCCACACCCGCATATCAACCAAGTAGGGCGCATCCACCCACGGAGCATCCCACCCAACATCCCCCTCCATATCTTCCCGCTCTACCCAAACGACATCTGGACCTCTCATCATCAACGCCGCACGTAGCAAGATCACCCGTGCCTGAGCGCGCTGCAGAGCCACCCTTATGGCTGCTCTAAGTGACCCTAGCAGATAAGCAGAAAAACCCTTTCCCGTGGCCCTCGCTGCTCCCTTCGTCTTTGCTACCTCAATCTGTGTATCACCCTATTTCTTAAGCCATCGTCCAAAGCTCCCACCAAGACATCCCCAGGTCTCTGCAATGAGAAGTGTGAACTGCACTCCCCTATGCCGCTGCAAAAGCAATTTGTAATCCGCTGCCTTCTGCTTTTCTCTCTCTCTAGCAACGAAATTCACCCTGCGGCCGATCTGTCCGTGGTGCTGCGCTGACAGAGAAATAGGATCTACGACGCTAACTTCCAGCGCATGCTCCTCCCCCTCCCTCAATCTCCGAACCGCCACATCCACTTTCTTCCCTGGCAGCAACGTATCGTCCTCCATAGTCACCACTCCACCCGCAGCTTTAGCTATTTTCGCCACCACAAACTTAACCGCATCGTGAACCCGAGAAGGTGCATACTGATGCTTGCAGCGAAGGGCATGATGGGGATCTGGAGTATCAGCGAACTCGACCCCACAGACGCATTTGCCGGCAACTATCAGCTGCACGATAGGGAGGCCTAGACGCATAGACGCACAGATGGTCCACTCTTGTGCGGTGAATGTAGCCTCGTCATGCGACGGAACGGCAGAGACCCACGCCCCCGCCCCTGGGCCCTGAAGGGATATCAAACAGGCCAAAGTGGCATCATCGTAGGCCATGCCCCGAAGAGACTGCAGGCTCTCGACCGCTAGGCGACGGTGTTGCGTAGGAAAAAGCAGCAATGGGGGGTCAGGAGTGCACAAAACAAGGGGCGGTATCTCCTGCCGAACCGGCTGTGGAAGCAGCTCCACTGCTCTCGCGAATCAGGGATCCAGCAAGGTCGTAGCCTCGGGCGTGCGGAAATACTATTCAAACATCCGCTCCTCTCCTGCCACCCCCATGCGAGCCACATCGCTCACTGCCTGGCACCAACCGCATGCGTACGACAGAGGGCTGAGATCAGCTACCGATCGTATGCCAAACCCCCCCAGTCTGGCAGGCAGATGCAACTGCAGGCGGGCCATCCGCGAATTTTCTGAATCGTGATCCCAGGTACCTGGCGGAAACATCTGCTAAAAACAATTCTCAAGGCTCGAGTCCCAGTCTCGGAAAGCTTCCACAACCTCTGGCCGTGGAGGCATCGTCCGCGTGAGATAAATCGGACGCGCTGACACCGCGATCGCTAACAAATGAGACGCAATCTGAGGGTGGTCAAGCAAAGGAAGCCAAGATACAGGTGCCTGCAGCTGCGTCAGCCGTTCTCGCAGGCGAGCTACCTCCCGACCTATCTCCTGGCAATCGAGCAAGCAGGAACTAATCACTCTCTCCTCAGCTGAAGCAGAATATATCACACTCTGCTCAGCCACCAAGGAAGGACTCTATCTTCGCGAGCTGCCGGAAGAAGCGAAGTTAGCCGAGTTACCCAACTTCACTCTGTTCTGCGACAACCAATCTGCGATTCGCATCGCCAACAAGAGCGGATTCGCGAACAGAACGAAGCATATCACCCTGCGATATTTCTTCGTGAAAGACGAGATCGAGAAAGGGAAACTCCAACTATCCTACTGTCCCACGTCTGAGATGGCAGCTGACTACTTGACCAAGAAGCTCGGAAAGCAGAAGTTCGAGTACTGCATGCTGCTGACTGGACAAAGCCACGTCACCATCAGCGACACTCCAGAAGCGAAGGGGGGTGTTGGGAACAAATAGTCTTAAAGCGCCTCTGTCGTGTCGAAACTCAAGACACAAGCGAAGCAGCTAAAATCGAAGCACCGCGAGTCAACCCTCGGAGGTTAACGTAACCGCTGGAGGTTACGAGAAAGTCAAAGGTCAGCGACCTTTGACCTGACGCAGCGCGTCAGCAAGGACACACAACTGACTCGACATTGAGCAGTTGCCCGAGTCGCACTGTATCGAACCGCAACAGTAAAACAGTTAAAATTATATCTCTTCATATTCTCTGTACTCATATATATATATTCGTGTATCTCTTTGCTTTAATCAACTTACTTTGCCCTCACATACTAGCGCAAGGTGGTTCAAGGACTTTATTCAAACGCTTCCGCTATTACATCACTTTACTCAGACTTTAACTCTACAAAGATCCTAGGGCGTCTCAGCCCAACAGTTATAATGTTTTCAAAACGAGTGCTCCAAAGTCGTGGACATGACGCAAGCACTGATCACATGAGTCCCCAAAAAATGAAACCAAATGTAACCTTTCATTCCATAATCGTCGATAAATACGGCGAATGGAACAATCGGTCATCACGAAACACAATTGACGAGAAACACCCACTGGACGTGAACGAAAATCATGTGCAGTGCATCCATTGAACACGTGCTAAAACAAAACAATTGAAAGTGAATGCTAAAATGCATCGGTGCTTCAACAGAGACGGTTCCGGTATGCTAAGGCGAGCTGCGCGGCCCTGCCCCAACAACGATCCCCACCTCACATGCAGACACGACACATTTTAACATCACACCTCAATTGCGTAACATGTGCAAAAACAACACAAACAACTGCTAGTGAATGCTAAAATGCATCGGTGCTACAGCAGAGGTGGTTCCGGTATGCTAAGGCGAGCAACGCTGCCCCAACAACGATCCCCACCTCAAATGCAGACCCGACACACTTAACATCACACATCAGTTGCATACAAGAGGCACTTTTGCACACGCCTCAAGACAGACAGGTGCAAACAGACAAACGCACATATCTCACACAGGCTCACACGCGCACGTACACGCACGCAGAAGCACATGCACAGCACACACTAACACAAACACACAAACAACCATAGATAGATACACAGACCGTAATAAAGAGGTAACCGTCATGAATAAAATTCAGAAATGCAGAAATGATTGGTAGTCTATCCCAACCCCCCCTCCCTACAACCCTCCCTCCCTCCTTCCCTCATCTCCATCCCACTCCCTCCCTCATCTCCCTTCTCAACTAATGCGCCTGCACAAAGCAAAATCAGAGAAGTCAACACACACACGCCCTGCACAAGAAGGCAAGAACAGAGAAAGGAACAACACACCTTGCACAAAAAAAAGTATATGTTTATGTGTACAAGAAAGCATAAACCAAATACTGCAACACACGTTCTCGTACAGGAGGCCAAGCAAGAATTACAAATCATCATCCCTCACTGCAGTGCGCAAGTGCGTTGCGGGCTTCAGAAAGAAGCCAGCGCGCGGCAACGCACCCGCTCGCCTTAAGCAGCAAGCAAACTGTGTCAAGGCGCCAAAGGCATCACGCTAGCGCTTCAGGCACGAGCACCACAGGGCTCAGCACACTAGGTGCCAGCGCCCAAGTGTTAGAGCACCCTCCGCGAGCGTGCTAGGCACTAGCTCGCTAATTGCCAGCGGCCTAGACGAGCGTCTGAGGTGCCAACACCTTAGAAACCGGCAGTTTAAGCGCTAGTGCAGAAAGCCACACTTATTTGCATAAATAGCCCCAGTTGCCCAAGCACCAGCTAAAATTATACTAGTGCTTACGCCCCAGCAAGCTCATGCGCACTCTCACTCACACTCTCACGCGCTCTCTCACGGGCACTCTCACGCGCTCTCTCACGCGCTCTATCAAGGCGCACTCTCAGGCGCACTCTCCCGCGCGCTCTCTTGCGCTCTCTCTCCCGCACTCTCATGCGCATTCTCTCTCTCACGTGCTTTCTCTCGCGCACTCTCATGCACATTCTCTCTCTCACACGCTCTCTCACGTGCACCCTCACACGCTCCCTCACACGCTTTCTCACACGCTCTCACACACGCTCTCTCACGCGCACTCTCACGCGCTCTCTTACGCACATTCTCTCTCTCACAAGCTCTCTCACGCGCACCTTGTCACGCTCCCTCACACGCTCTCTCACGCGCTCTCACACGGGCTCTCTCATGCGCACTCTCACGCGCTTTCTGACGCGCTCTATCAAGGTGCACTCTCAGGCGCACTTTCACACGCTCTCTCTCGCGCTCTCTCTCCCGCACTCTCACGCGCATTCTCTCTCACGTGCTTTCTCTCACGCACTCTAACGCACATTCTCTCTCTCACACACGCTCTCTCACGCGCACCCTCACACGCTCTCTCGCGCGCTCTCACACGCACTCTCACACGCACTCTCACACGCAATCTCTCATGCGCACTCTCACGCGCTCCCTCACGCGCTCTATTACGCTCTCTCACGCGCTCTCTCATGCGCTCTATCACGCGCCCTCTCATGCGATCCCTCACGCACTCCCTCACGCGCTCTCTCAAGGTGCACTCTCAGGCACACTCTCATGCGCTCTCTCTTGCGCTCTCTCTCCTGCACTCTCACGCGCACTCTCACGCACCCTCTCTCGTGCTCTCCCTCCTGCACTCTCATGCGCATTCTCTCTCTCATGTGCTTTCTCTTGCGCACTCTCACGCAGATTCTCTCTCTCACATGCTCTCTCACGCGCACTCTCACACGCTCCCTCACACGCTCTCTCACACGCTCTCACACACGCTCCCTCACGCGCACTCTCACGCGATCTCTCTCACGCACATTCTCTCTCTCACACGCTCTCTCACGCGCACCCTGTCACGCTCCCTCACACGCTCTCTCACGCGCTCTCACACGCGCTCTCTCACACGCACTCTCACGCGCTCTCTGACGCGTTCTATCAAGGCGCACTCTCAGGCGCACTCTCACACGCTCTCTCTCGCGCTCTCCCTCCCGCACTCTCACGCGCGTTCTCTCTCTCAGAGTTTTCTCTCTCGCACTCTAACGCACATTTTCTCTCTCACATGATCTCTCACGCGCACCCTGACACACTCTCTGACACGCTCTCTCACGCGCTCTCACACGCACTCTCTCACGCACTCTCACACGCGCTCTCTCACGGCACTCTCACGCGCTCTCTCACGCGCTCTCTTACACTCTCTCACGCGCTCTCTCATGCGCTCTATCAAGCGCCCTCTCATACATGTCAGAACACATAGCTTACTTGTTTGTGTAGGCTATAGTGGGGTATCCCATAGGGGGTACAACACAATTAGGGTTTCCTATTTGTACTCACTTCGTTCATACTCATTTCATTCTCGTTCAATTCTTCTCATGGTATCAGAGCGAGTCCCCTCCTAGGGACTGTTCCTAGGGCCCACCGAAGCGCGCCCCGAGGCGCGCGTTCTTTTTTTAGCGACCCTGCGTGTCGCCCCTACCGTCGCGCTCCCGCCGCTCCCTCCTCTTACGGCCGCCCGCCCTAGTGCCCTGACGGCCGCCGCCCTAGCGCCCTGACGGCCGCCCGCCCTAGCGCCCTGACGGCCGCCCGCCCTAGCGCCCGAGCGCCAACCGCCCTAGCGCCCTGACGGCCAACCGCCCTAGCGCCCTGACGGCCGCCCGCCCTAGCGCCCTGACGGCCGCCCGCCCCAGCGCCCGAGCGCCGCCCGCCCTAGCGCCCGAGCACCGCCCGCCCTAGCGCCCGAGCGCCGCCCGCCCTAGCGCCCGAGCGCCGCCCGCCCTAGAGCCCTGACGGCCGCCCGCCCTAGCGCCCGAGCGCCGCTCGCCCTAGCGCCCTGAAGGCCGCCCGCCCTAGCGCCCGTGCGCCCCTCGCCCAAGCGCCCTGACGGCCGGCCGCCCGCCCTAGCGCCCGAGCGCCGACCGCCCTTTCGCCCTTACGGCCGCCCGCCCGAACGCCTGAGCGCCGCCCGCCGTCGCCCCAACGCCCTAGCGCCCGACGCCCGCGAGCCGCCCGTCGCAGCCGCCCGTGAGCTCCCTGAGCCGCCCGCGCCGCCGTCCCTGAGCCGCCTGTGCAGCCGCCCGCGAGCCACCAGTGAGCCGCCCGTCGCGACACCAGCGCCGCACGAGCCGCCCGTACAGCCCAGCAGCCCGAGCCGCCCGAGCCGCCCGCGCCGCCCCAGCAACCCGAGCCGCCCGAGCCGCCCGAGCCGCCCGAGCCGCGCGAGCCGCCCGAGCCGCCCCAGCCGCCCGAGCCGCCCGAGCCGCCCGAGCCGCCCGAGCCGCCCGAGCCGCCCGCGCCGCCCCAGCAACCCGAGCCGCCCGAGCCGTGCCGCTGTTCCTGAGGTGTGTTCCTCTGCTGCTGCACTACCCGACTCTCCCTGCCCGGTGAGACTTTCAGCTGCTGCCATGGCCACCCCCAATGTCGTTACTTTTGACGCTGAGGGGAGGGCCATTGACTTTGCCGTCTGGATTGAAGACCTGCAGCTGTACTTACTATGTGATGCGATAGATGAGGTCTCTCTCTTTGACTTTGTCTCCGGCGCTGTCCCTGCCCCACCTGCTGATGCTGACTCTGCCGTTCGCTCCAAGTGGGCGACCCGCGATGCTGCTGCACGTCTTGCTGTGCATCGCCACCTCCCTTCCTCTGAACGTGCCCACTTTAGTCAGTGCAAGACCGCTCAGGCCTTGTACGACGCTGTAGTTGCACGCTACTCCTCCCCTTCCTCCGCTACCCTTAGCCGCCTCATGCTACCGTTTCTCTTCCCTGACCTCGCCTCCTTTCCCACTGTTTTTGACCTCGTTACCCACCTCCGTGCTAGTGACACCCGCTACCGCGCTGCCCTTCCTGCTGAGTTCCGCGCTGCAAACCCTCCTCCCATGTACATCACTCTCTACTTTCTCGTCACCCGTCTCCCTGAGTCTCTTCGTGCCGTTAGGGACCAGTTTCTCTCTGTCTGTCCCACCACTCTCACTGTCGATCTCCTTGAGGAGTCCCTGCTAGCGGCTGAGAAGAGTATTGTCGCTGTAGGGGCCTCTCGGGGTGACCCTCGCACCCCCATCTTTGAGGGGTGTGGTCCTTCCCCCCTGCTGCCCTCTGTTGCCTCTGCCGCTGCGGCCGACCTCACTGGTTTTGAGTCGGTCGGCGCGGCGTCTGCCCCCAGCCGCAGACGCCGCTCTGGCAAGGGCAAAGGGGGCAAGGGAGCGGGTGGAGCTAGAGGGGGCGGTGGAGGAGGCGGTGGGGGTGGCGGGGGGGGTGGGGGTGGCGGTGGGGGTGGTGGCGGGAGTGGAGGTACTGGTGGCGGCGGTGGAGACGGAGGTGGCGGCGGAGGTGGTAGCGGAGGAGGCGGTGGGAGCGGTGGGAGCGACGGTCCTGGTGGGGGAGGTGGCGGTGGAGACGGGGGTGGCGGTGGAGGCGGGGGTGGCGGTGGAGGCGGGGGTCGGAGTGGCTCGTCCTAGCGGAGCAGCTCTGGGGGTGGTCAGCGCCAGCAGCAGCAGCAGCAGCAGCCGCAGCAGCAGCCACAGCAACAGCAGCGCTCTCGCACCGTCCCCGGCCCTCAGCAGCTCCGTGAGTGGTACTTGCAGCGTCAGCGTGGTGGTGCGCTTGGTCCCTGCCCCTACGTTCTTCGCACAGGTGACCGTGCAGGGGAGAGGTGTGGAGGCGCCCACACAGCCCGCCGCTGCTTTGGCCGCCTGACCGACGCCTGGCGTCAGCAGTTTCCGGAGGCCGCTGAGATCCCCCGCTGGGGAGAGCTGTCTAGGGCTGGTGTAGCTATTTATGATCTTGATTTTGATGCTATTCTCTCTGCTATGTATGCTGTGACTGGTAGTGATGAGGATGACTGTTACCGGTGTTTCCCGCCCGACCCGGGCATTGGTACTGCTGCGTCAGGTACTAGTGAGGCTGCTGCTCTAGGTGCCAGTGCGTCTGTGCTCTCAGGTGCTGGTGAGTCTGCCCTCTCAGGTACTGTGTCGGCTTCGGCCTCTCACACCTTCACCCTTGACTCTGGAGCGTCTCGCTCCTTCTTTAGGGACCGCACCACTCTCACGCCGCTGAGTCGGCCGGTTGCGGTGTCCCTGGCTGACCCCTCTGGGGGGCCTGTCCTGTCTTGCTTCTCCACTGTCCTCCCGTGTCTGGCGGCCCCCTTTGGCACCCTGACTGGTCTCTACCTCCCCTCGTTCTCGACGAACTTGGTGAGTGGTGCTGACCTCCAGGATGTGGGTGTCCACCAGTTCACCCCTGCTCGTCAGCGGGTGACCCACTGCACTGAGGCGGATACACGTCGCCACCTGGCTACGTCTACACGTCGGCCAGGGTCGAGCCTGTACACACTGACCACTGCTTCTCCTCCAGGTGCTGAGTCTGGTAGGGTCCCTTCGTCTGGTCAGGTGTTTGCTGCAGCGTCCAGGTCTGGTCCTGAGTCTGCCCCCTGCTCGTGTCGTCGTCTGTCTCACGAGACCCTCCTCTGGCACCACCGCCTTGGCCACCCCTCTCTGCTTCGGCTCAGAGGCATGGCCTCGCGAGTCCTTGTGTCTGGTCTTCCCCGGCCTCTCCCTCCCCTTCCTCCGGGCCCTGGCCCCACCTGTGTCCCCTGTGTCGAGGGGCGCCAGCGTGCTGCCCCTCACTCCTCCCAGTTTCCTCCGTCAGAGGCCCCGTTGCAGACGCTTCACATGGACGTGTGGGGCCCAGCCCGCGTCCGTGGACAGGGTCAGGAGCGCTACTTCCTGCTGGTGGTTGACGACTACTCGCGTTACACCACAGTCTTCCTCTTGCGCAGCAAGGGTGAGGTCACTGAGGTGTTGATCGACTGGATCCGCGCAGCTCGTCTCTAGCTTCGGAGGAGCTTTGGTTCTGACTTCCCTGTTTTACGTCTGCACTCGGACAGAGGCGGAGAGTTCTCCTCTGGCCTCCTGAGTGCCTACTGTCGTGCGCGAGGCATCCGTCAGACCTTCACGCTTCCGGACTCACCACAGCAGAATGGGATTGCTGAGCGCCGCATTGGCATGGTCATGGACGTCGCTCGTACGTCCATGATGCATGCGGCTGCTCCCCATTTTCTGTGGCCGTTTGCGGTCAGTTACGCTGCGCACCAGATCAACCTCCACCCTAGGGTCTCTCGACCGGAGACCTCCCCAGCCCTGCTGTGGACGGGGAAGGTTGGCGATGCGTCGGCGTTCCGGGTCTGGGGATCTCGGGCGTTTGTTCGCGACCTGTCTGCGGACAAGCTGTCCCCTCGTGCTTCTCCCTGCGTCTTCCTCGGGTTCCCCCCCGACGCCCCTGGGTGGCAGTTTTACCACCCCACCTCTCGACGTGTTCTGTCCTCCCAGGACGTCACGTTTGACGAGTCGGTACCCTACTACCGCCTCTTCCCCTACCGCACTCCGTCCCTCCCCCCACCCCCGCTCTTCTTGGTACCAGGTCCCCCCCCGGTAGTCCCCCTCCCCCCTCAGGGTCCTGCCCCTTCAGGTGTGTCCCAAGTAGACGCGGTCGAGCCTGTCGAGGTCACTGGTGACCCTGGTACTGCTGCGGGAGCTGAGCCTGGGGGTGCGGAGTCTGGGGGTGCTGAGCCTGGAGGTGCCGAGTCTGGGGGTGCTGAGCCTGGGGGTGCTGAGCCTGGGGGTACTGTGCCTGGGAGTGCTGAGCCTGGAGGTGCCGAGTCTGGGGGTGCTGTGCCTGGGGGTGCTGAGCCTGGAGGTGCTGCGCCTGGGGGTGCTGTGCCTGAGGTTGCTGAGCCTGGGGGTGCTGTGCCTGGGGGTGCTGTGTCTAGGGGTTCTGAGCCTGGAGGTGCTGTGCCTGGGGGTGCTTCGTCTCGCCGGGAGCCACTCTCCCCACAGGAGCTGCGTGAGTGGTTTGCTAGGCGCTGGAGGCGTGCTGCTGGTGCGGGTGGTTCTTCGACTGCAGAGGGTACTGCTGCCGCGCGTCCCGCCGGTGCTCGTACTGTGGGTGCTGGAGCTGCTGGGTCTGAGAGTTCTCCTGGAGCTGGTCCTGCTGAGGGTGTTGGCGCTGAGCCTGCCGTTGGCGGTCCGACTGACAGTGCTCCTGGTGCTGCGGCTGGGGGTTCAGGAGCTTCTGGTGGTGCTGCTGGAGGTGCTGCTGGAGTGGGTGCTCCTGCCGGGGCTACTGGTGCTGTTCCTGCTGTTTCTAGCGTCGCCGCGCGGCCCCGACCGTACTTCGTTCCGCTCCTGCAGCAGGTTCTTGGTCTTACACCTCCTCCTCCTCCCTTAGAGGGTCCGCAGCCTGTCCGGTCACAGCCACAGCTACAGCCTGCCTCCCCTTTGCCTGCTCCTTCTCCCTACGCTGGTCCGACTGGAGGTCTTACTGAGCGTCGTGAGCCTGCGTCTCGTCCTGTGTCGCCTGTTCGTACTGAGCGCGCTAGTGGTCGCGGGTCGCGTCAGCGTCCTCCTCCTGTCCCTGGCACGCACCGGATGTCACTGCGTCCGTCCACTGCTCCTCTGCGTGCCCCTTTGCCTTCTCCTCCTGCTTCCTCTCTTCCTGCTCTTGCCGACCCGGAGTCGGACTCTCTTCGTGCTGCCAGTCCTACTGTCACGCGTCTCCTGGCTACTGCTGTCACTGACCCCTCCTTCGAGTCGTCTGCTGCGTCTGCCCTTGTCACCGAGCTTGTCGACTTTGCTGCGCGCTGTCGTCTAGACTACGCTGCTCGTCTTGTCCCTGAGTCTAAGTCCGCCTGTCCTCCGTCCGTCGGGGGTGGGTGTGCCCTTGACACGGACGTCCTTGAGGACAGGCAGGAGGAGTTCCAGTGTCTGGCCGCAGCTTCACCTCGCCTCGCGTCTGTACTGCTAGCCTCTGAGGGAGACCCGGATGCACCAGACATCCCGACTCCGCGCTCTTACGCGGAGGCGATAGAGGGTCCCTACTCCTCTCAGTGGCAGGCAGCTATGGATGCAGAGATGGCTTCCTGGAAGTCCACAGGCACCTACGTTGACGCTGTTCCCCCTCCTGGGGCGAACATCGTCAGTGGCATGTGGATTTTCAGGGTGAAGCGGCCGCCGGGTTCTCCGCCTGTCTTCAAGGCGCGTTACATGGCTCGTGGCTTTAGTCAGCGGCAGGGGGTTGACTACTTTCAGACCTTCTCCCCCACCCCGAAGATGACCACTCTTCGAGTTCTGCTGCACGTTGCTGCTCACCGTGACTACGAGCTGCACTCTCTCGACTTCAGCACAGCTTTCTTGCAGGGCAGCCTGCACGAGGAGATCTGGCTGCGTCGCCCACCTGGCTTCACTGGGTCTTTCCCTCCTGGTATCCAGTGGAGTCTCCGGCGTCCAGTCTACGGTCTCCGCCAGGCGCCACGTGAGTGGCACGACACACTGAGGACTACGCTCGCGGCACTTGGGTTTGCTCCTTCCACTGCCGACCCGTCGCTGTTTCTGCGCACCGACACCTCTCTGCCGCCGTTCTACATCCTCGTGTACGTCGACGACTTGGTCTTTGCCACAGCTGACACTGCTGGACTCGCCTACGTGAAGTCCGAGCTGCAGAAGAGACACACGTGCACTGACCTGGGTGAATTGCGCAGCTACCTTGGCTTGCAGATCACCCGGGACAGAGCACGCCGCACCATTACCCTGACTCAGTCACACATGGTGCAGCAGGTCCTTCAGCGCTTCGGCTTCACGTACTCCTCGCCTCAGGCCACTCCTCTGCCTACTCGCCACTCGCTCTCAGCTCTGCCTTCGGATGAGTCCGTAGAGTCGAGTGGCCCGTTTGCAGAGCTTGTTGGCTGCCTCATGTACCTGATGACCTGCACACGACCTGACCTCGCATACCCTCTTAGCATTCTCGCACGCTTTGTTGCTCCTGGGAGACACCGACCAGAGCACATGGCTGCAGCGAAGAGGGTGTTGCGCTACTTGTGCAGTACGTCGGGCATGGGGCTAGTGCTTGGAGGGCGCAGTCCAGTGGTCCTCACTGGGCACGCAGACGCTTCTTGGGCTGACGACCAGGCTACGCAGCGGTCGTCACAGGGTTACACCTTCAGCCTTGGTTCCGGCTCTGTCTCGTGGCGGGCTACCCGCTCGTCTTCTGTTCTCGGCTCCAGTTGTGAGGCTGAGATCTGCGCTGGGGCTATGGTGTCAGAATCCCAACCACTAGACCATTGGGATAAAAGGGCTTGTTAAGTAGCGGGTCAGTGCGCCCATAACCCCCCAGGACAACGAGCCTGTAACCCTTCCCTAGGATCAATCGGGGATCACCAGTGGACCTCTGACACCCCCCCGCACTGGGATGCTCGAAGTGCATACACCGGGATTCGAACCCGAGATCGCTCTGATACCATGTCAGAATCCCAACCACTAGACCATTGGGATAAAAGGGCTTGTTAAGTAGCGGGTCAGTGCGCCCATAACCCCCCAGGACAACGAGCCTGTAACCCTTCCCTAGGATCAATCGGGGATCACCAGTGGACCTCTGACATATGGCTGCACAGGAGTTACGCTGGCTCACCTACCTGCTGACCGACCTTGGAGAGCAGCCTCGTTCTCCTCCAGTCCTGTACGTAGACAACAAGGCCATGCTGGCCTTGTGTCGAGAGCAGCGACTGGAGCACAGAACGAAGCACATTGCTCTTCGCTACTTTCTTGCTCGTGAGCTACAGCAGCGTGGACAGCTGCGACTTGCGTACGTGGCCTCTGAGGCCAACACTGCTGATGTCTTCACCAAGGCACTTGCGCCTTGTGATCATCAGCGTTGCTGCACGCAGTTGGGTCTTGTGCGTGTCTTGCCTCACTTGCTCTCCTCTTGACCTTGCTTGTACCTTCGCATATATATACTCTTGCTCTTGCTTGCTTGACTCTTGTATACCTCTATATATGATCTTGCATGTGAACTGGCCTTCTGGCCTTTGAACTTGTGCTCGGAATGCGTGGTGACTTTGTGATCCAACCTGAGCTTTGCTTTGCTTTGCTTGACTGGTCTTGTGACCCCTTGTTCTCCCCCACTTTGCCTATGGGGGTGTGTCAGAACACATAGCTTACTTGTTTGTGTAGGCTATAGTGGGGTATCCCATAGGGGGTACAACACAATTAGGGTTTCCTATTTGTACTCACTTCGTTCATACTCATTTCATTCTCGTTCAATTCTTCTCAATACAATCCCTCACGCACTCCCTCACGCGCTCTCTCAAGGTGCACTCTCAGGCACACTCTCACGCGCTCTCTCTCGCGCTCTCTCCTGCACTCTCACGCGCACTCTCACGCGCTCGCTCTCGCGCTCTCTCTCCCGCACTCTCATGCGCATTTTCTCTCTCACGTGCTTTCTCTCTCGCACTCTCACACACATTCCCTCTCTCGCACGCTCTCTCACGCGCACCCTCACATGCTCCCTCACGCGCTCTCGCACGCGCTCTCTCACGCGCACTCTCACACGCTCTATAACGCGCCCTCTCATGCGCTCCCTCACGCACTCTCTCACGCGCTCTCTCAAGGCGCACTCTCAGGCACACTCTCACGCACTCTCTCTCTCGCGCGCTCTCTATCGCGCACTCTCACCATATTCTCTCTCTCACGCGCTCTCTCTCGCGCACTATCGCACGCATTCTCTCTCTCTCACGCTCTCACACGCTCACATGCGCTTTCTTATCCGCTCTCTCACGCGCTCTCACGCGCTCTCTCACGCGCCCTCTCACGCGCTCCTTCACGCGCTCTCTCACACGCTCTCTCATGCGCACACGCTCTCCCTCACACTCCATCTCTTTCTTCTTTAAATGAAAGTACAATGCAAGAGGAGACCAATCGACACACAGAAAAGGAATTAAAAATAAAATTAAAAAAAAAAAAAAAAAAAAAAAAAAAAAAAAAAAAAAAAAAAAAAAACGAAGAATTCAGAGGGGGGGAGGGAGGACGGAAGGACCGGGAACGCACCTGATAACCACGGTGCTTGAGAAAACAAGTCGCGCTTGCGCACCAACCCGCTCGCGCACCAACCCGCTCGCGCACCAACCCGCGCTTGCGCTCGTGCACCTGTCGTCGGAGGCGACGGCGGAGAGGGAAGGAGAGGCGACGGCGGGGAGTGGGGAGAGGCGACCGCGGGGAGGAGGGAGAGGCGACGGCGGGAAGTGGGGAGAGGCGACCGCGGGGAGGAGGGAGAGGCGACGGCGGGGAGCGGGGAGACGCGACCGCGGGGAGGAGGGAGAGGCGACGGCGGGGATTGGGGAGAGGCGACCGCGGGGAGGAGGGAGAGGCGGCGGCGGGGATTGGGGAGAGGCGACCGTGGGGAGGAGGGAGAGGCGACAGCGGGGAGTGGGGAGAGGCGACCGCGGGGAGGAGGGAGAGGCGACGGCGGGGAGTGGGGAGAGGCGACCGCGGGGAGGAGGGAGAGGCGACGGCGGGGAGTGGGGAGAGGCGACCGCGGGGAGGAGGGAGAGGCGATGGCGGGGAGTGGGGAGAGGCGACCGCGGGGAGGAGGGAGAGGCGACGACGGGGAGTGGGGAGAGGCGACCGTGGGGAGGAGGGAGAGGCGACGGCGAGGAGGAGGGAGACGCGACGGCAGGGAGGAAGGAGCGACGACGCCGGGGAGGAGGGAGAGGCGACGACGGGGAGGAGGGAAAGGCGACTCGGCGAGGAGGAGTGAGAGGCGACGGTGGGGAGGAGGGAGAGGCGACGGCGATGAGGAGTGAGAGGCGACGGCGGGGAGTTAAGGGAGAGGAGATGGCGGGGTGGGAGCGAGAGAGACAGCTGGGTGGGAGAAAAACTGGAGAAATTGGGGTGGGGGAGAGGAAAAGGAGGAAGAGCAGAGCTAGTGCTTGTCGAGAGGAACGAAGAACAAGAATCAAGAAAAGGCAGCGCAGAAAGAATATGCCAGCGCAGTACAGAACAAAGGCATCTGGCTCTACGCCACCCAACTGTTATGAATGAACTTGCAGAGTGCGCAGTAAAACGAATATCGAGAATGAACTGAGTACTGAATTCACTGAATCCACAATGAAGTAACGAGGCCTAAATAGGGGAAAATCTAGCTAGGCGGGGGTTCGGGATGGGATGGCTCGGTGATGGTTGCGATTGGAGCGGAGGCCGACTCGGGAGTGGCTCGGTGCGACGAAATAGGAAGGTCAGGTTCGTCGCGTGACCCTCGGGATGGCCTCGCTAACGAGTGCCTCAGTAAGGATTTGTAAATCCTTATACTCTCCCACCTTCTAAATAAGGTAGCCTTGTACTGAAAACAGACCCCACACTAGCGAGGATGCCGTAGATCTTCCCTTCAGCTGAATCCGACGGCTGAAATGCCTTTGACAATTTTTTTGAAAAGGTTGGAATGTAGGCCGTTGATGAAGTACGATTTCGATCTGACGGTCGAAGATGAACTGGCCCAATATGAAGTAGAGGTTGGAATGTGGGCCGTTGATCGAGCAAATGTAGATCTGACGGTCGAAGCAGTTGCGAGTTTGGAGGGAAGCTGCTAACGCGAAATTCAATCGCGATGTAGCAGAAACCGTTGATCGTGTCGGTGCGATCGCGAGCGTCCGTCGTGCTGACGCAAACTGACAAAGTCAGAAAGGACCGAGAAAACGCCAAGGAAAGAACAGTGCAAAGCACTTTCTCCCCCCCTCCAAGAAAACACTCCAGAAAGTTTCCCGCAGCTGCGCCGAGATGAAAACCAACAAAACCAGATGTTAAGTCCCACTGAGAAAACCGTGGAGCGGAGAATGCCGGGTGAAATTGCGTCGGTGTGGAAAGTCGATGACGAAACCAAGTAGTACGTGCCCCAAAAATCGTCGGGGATGAACCAGAAGATGTAGCCCGAAAACCGAAATTCATGTTATCGAATACTCGAACTGAACCTGTGTTGTCTTCACGTGCCAGAATCCTGCAGTATCTTCAGCAGTTGCAGCTGGCAGCACCTGACGTGGTCAGAAATAAATGCAGTTGTCGTGGGCGGGTCGGGTGGATGGGTTTGTCGCTAGTAGAGTTGGAGCGGCTGTATCCCGAAATCCTCTGGCCGTAAAATCGGGAATGTTACGAGTGTCGTCGAAGTCGGCGATCGAAGGCAATTGGCAGCGAACGTGATAACGAGAGATGGCGAAGGTCGTCAAAGTAGTAACCTACCGAATATCACTCTGGTCGAATTTGCCGAATGATGTATCCGTGTCGAATGACGTCACCACCTCCGGCGGGTTTGTCCAGACTCGCCGAACCCTTTGTCGTAATCAGCCGATGACTCCTGGGCAGATATGAAAAATTACAGCTGTCTCTCCCCCCCTCCACTATTGCTGCTGCCACCTCCAGTTCGTCGTAAGTCATTCGTACCCCTGAAAACTGTCAGATTTATATGACATATTTGCTGTAGGCTATAGTGGGGTAGCACATATGGGGTACAGGGTTTCTAGGGTTGTATTTGTACCCAATCTTTCCTTAGTCATTCTCATTCCTGTTCATTCTTTTCACATGGTATAGAGCGGGTCCCTCCTAAGGACCGTTTTTTTAAGGGCCCACCCACGATTATTTTTCCTGCCCGGAGCGCGCCCTATTCTCCCCGAGGCGCGCTCCCCCTAGTGCTTGTCGCACTACCCTTGTGGCGCCCCGAGAGTCGCGCGCGCGACTCCCTTTTTTTTCGCGCGCGCGGCCCAGGCCCCACGTCGCGCTGGCCTTACGGCCGCGCCGCGCCGCCCTCTCGGCTCTACCGCGCCGCGCCGCCCTCACGCCGGCCGCGCGGCCTCTTCGTCGCTGCAGCTGGCCGCGCCGTCCCCTGTCACGGCCCTGCCGTCCCCTGTCACGGCCCCGCCGCTGCACCCTGACGGCCCCGCCACTGCACCAGTCGGCCCCGCCGCTGCACCCTGACGGCCCCGCCGTCCCCTGTCCCGGCCCCGCCGCTGCAACCTGCCGGCCCCGCCGCTGCACCCTGACAGCCCCGCCGCTGCACCCTGACGGCCCCGCCGTCCCCTATCCCGGCCCCGCCGCTGCACCCTGCCGGCCCCGCCGCTGCACCCTGACGGCCCCGCCGTCCCCTGTCACGGCCCCGCCGCTGCACCTTGCCGGCCCCGCCGCAGCACCCTGACGGCCCCGCCGTCCCCTGTCCCGGCCCCGTCCTGCACCCGAGCCGCCCTGCCGCCGAGCCGCCCGGGAGCCGAGCCGCCCTGCACCCGAGCCGCCCTGCCGCCGAGCAGCCCGGGAGCCGAGCCGCCCTGCACCCGAGCCGCCCTGCCGCCGAGCAGCCCGGGCGCAGAGCCGCCCTGCACCCGAGCCGCCCTGCCGCCGAGCCGCCCGGGAGCCGAGCCGCCCAGCAGCCGAGTCGCTGAGTCGCCGAGCCGCCCTTCTGCAGAGTTTCCCGGCCTGCCCTGCCTGGTGAGCACAGTCGCACTGTCACTGCGTGCTCTTCCCCTACTGCTTGCACTGCCTCGCTGTCGTCGTTATGGCTACCCCTAGTGTCCTAGCTTTTGACGCTAAGGGTCGCGCCATTGATTTTGAGGTCTGGTTAGACGACCTGCAGCTGTTCTTACAGTGCGACAGGGCTGACAGCCTTTCTCTCTTTGACCTCACCTCTGGCGCCTCTCCTGCTCCTGCTGCTGATGCTGATCCCACTGTCCGCTCTCAGTGGGCCACCCGCGATGCTGCTGCACGTCTTGCTGTGCGTCGCCACCTCCCTACCTCTGAGCGTGCGCACTTTAGTCAGTACAAGAGTGCTCAGACCTTGTACGACGCTGTAGTTGCGCGCTACTCCTCCCCTGCCACTGCTGCACTGAGCCGTCTCATGCTTCCCTACCTCTTTCCTGACCTCTCTGCCTTTCCCACTGTCGCTGACCTCATAACGCACCTCCGCACTAGCGACACTCGCTACCGCGCCGCCCTTCCTGCTGAGTTCTGCGCTAAGAACCCACCCCCCATGTACATCGCTCTCTACTACGTAGTTGCGCGCCTCCCTGACTCCCTTCGCGTCGTCAGGGACCACTTTCTCGCAGTCTGTCCCACCACCCTCACCGTCGACCTCCTCGAGAAGGCCCTCCTCGCAGCGAAGAAGAGCATAGTCGCTGTAGGTGCTTCTCGTGGTGACCCTCGCACCCCCATCTTTGAGGGGTGCTCTCCTTCCCCCTTGCTCCCTTCTGTTGCCTCTGCTGCTGCTGCCGACCTGCTTGGTCTTGAGTCGGTCGGCGCGGCGTCTGCCCCCAGTGGGAGACGTCGCTCCAGCAAGGGCAAGGGGGGCAAGGGTGCGGGTGGAGCTGGAGGGGGCGGTGGCGGTGGCGGCGGTGGCGGCGGAGGGAGTGGGGGTGGCGGCGGGACTAGTGGCGGGGGTGGTGGTGGTGGTGGCAGCAGCGGCGGAGACGGTGGTGGTGGTGCCAGCGGTGGTGGTGGAGGCAGCGGCGGAGGTGGAGGCGGCGGAGGTGGAGGCGGTGGAGGCGGCAGCGGAGGAGGCGGTGGTGGTGGAGGAGGTGGAGCTGGTCGGGGTGGTACCCAGCAGCGTAGCGGCGGTGGTAGTGGCCAGCGCTAGCAGCGGCAGCAGCAGCAGCGCTCGCGGGACATCCCTCCGCCTCAGCAGCTTCGTGAGTGGTACGCTGCGCGTCAGAGGGGTGGGGGTACTGGTCCCTGCACCTACGTTCTTCGTTCCCGCGACCGCGCGGGTGAGCAGTGTGGGGGTGCCCACGCCGCCCAGCGCTGCTTTGGCCGCCTGACGGACGCTTGGCGTCAGCAGTTCCCTGGGGCTAGTGAGATCCCTCGCTGGGATGAGCTTCTTAGGGCTGGTGTAGCGATCTTTGATCTTGATTTTGATGCTATCCTTGCTGCTATGTATGCTGTGACTTATAGTGAGGAGAATGAGGGTTACCGGTGTTTCCAGCCCGACCCGGGCATTGGTACTGCTGCGCTAGGTGCTTGTGAGGCTGCTGCTCTGGGTGCCAGTGCGCCTGCGCTCTCAGGTACTGGTGAGACTGCGCTCTCAGGTACTGCGTCGTCCTCGTCCTCCCTCACTTTCACACTTGACTCCGGGGCTTCTCGCTCCTTCTTTCGAGACCGCACTACCCTTACGCCGCTCGGCCGGCCGGTTGCAGTCTCCCTTGCTGACCCCTCTGGGGGTCCTGTCCTGTCTCACTTCTCCACTATCCTCCCGTGTCCGGCTGCCCCTTCAGGCACCCTGTCTGGTCTGTACCTTCCCTCGTTCTCTACGAACTTGGTGAGTGGCGCGGACCTGCAGGATGTGGGGGTTCACCAGTTCACTCCTGCGAGTCAGCGGGTGACCCACTGCACGGAGGCACGCACAGGCCGACACCTGGCCACGTTCTCGCGTCGGCCGGGGTCGAGTCTCTACACCCTTACCGTTGAGTCTCCTCCTGTCCCTGCGTCTGGTCAGGTGGCTGCGTCAGGTCAGGTGCTTGCTGCTGCGTCCCGGTCAGGTCCTGAGTCTGCCCCCTGTTCTTGTCGCCTCCTGTGTCACGAGACTCTTCTGTGGCACCACCGTCTTGGCCACCCCTCCTTGCCCCGTCTTCGGAGCATGGCTTCCCGTGTCCTTGTCTCTGGTCTTCCCCAGTCTCTCCCTCCTCTCCCCTCCGGGCCAGGACCTTCTTGTGTCCCCTGTGTTGAGGGTCGCCTCCGGGCTACTCCTCACTCCTCCCACTTCCCCCCGACAGAGGCTCCCCTGCAGACGCTTCACATGGATGTGTGGGGCCCAGCCCCCGTCCGTGGGCAGGGTCACGAGCGCTACTTCCTGTTGGTGGTTGACGACTACTCGCGTTACACCACAGTCCTCCCCTTGCGCAGCAAGGGTGCGGTCACTGAGGTGCTGATCGACTGGATCCGCGAGGCTGGTCTCCAGCTCAGGAAGAGCTTCGGCTCGGACTTTCCTGTTCTGCGTCTGCACTCGGACAGAGGCGGAGAGTTCTCTTCTCGCCTTCTGCGAGA